ACACGTTCTTCTTTCGAGGACAAATTCAAACGCGAAATAAGAAGGGTAAATATGAGAGCGTCTTCCGCAAGTAAACGGTAAAGTATTCCTTTCTATAAATTCACCCCGAAAGAAAGAGAGAGAGAGAGAGAGAGAGAGAGAGAGAGAGAAAGTGAGTGGGAGAGACTGAAAGGTTCCCGCACGTTTCATTCTACAGCAAGGTTCAGTTCTTTCAATGACGGAACAAGCAAGTGGGGAAAAATCGAAAGAGAATACCTCGACACGGAATTTAGACATTGTTTTCCGTGTATGAAACGAATCGTATATTATTATTATTATTATTATTATTATTATCGTTATCGTGACCGTTATAGGTTGCGTTGTTTTTACCGATATTATATCGGTGGGAAAATTCGATTTAGACGCTCTAGACTCGCGTCGAGATGTTTCACAAAGTGTGAATTTGGGACAGTGGTGACCTACTTCATTATCGCTCCAATTAATCTCTCTTCTATTCTCTCCGCTCGCGACTGTATCGAATCAGTGGCACATCGGAAAGCGAGTCGCATCGGGATGCATTTGGAGCGTTGTCGTTATTGCCGCGGCACATTTTCCGCGAACATACGACAACTGATAAAAGTTTCCGACGCGAGTACGTTACGTTCGGATGAGTTGACGGATTGCAATCGCGTATTGGAATCCGGTCGAGTGACACACACAGGGGATTACCAGATTTACGGTGCACGGGGATATTCCGATGCCGGATCCCACGGTGCCATACGAAAGTTTGGGATCCTGTGAATTTAATTTCAGGCTCCAATCCGCAACTGCAATCGCTTCTTCCTTCGCTCGAGGTTCAGTTTCTCACTGGCTGTCCCAAATTTACCGCGGCGCCGCGGCGCGAAGAAATTGGTCAAGAGCTCGTCACCAATTTCACAATGCACAGCGCTCGTAGAGCGTAGAGAATAGTATGTATGATATTTTCGGGAGATTAATCGCGCTTAGAAATATTCAATTCTCCGGCCGCCGAGCTAGCGTTGCCCGTCACGGTGCCTCTTCTTCCCGCGCGTCACGATGTTAACAAACGAGAGGTGCTTAAAGATGCTGCTCATAATGAGCGTGGAGCGTCTAACAATAGAGCTTGGGACGCTTTCAAGCGCTGTTCGCACATTCCAATATTTTCGAGACTTAGAGACATTAAGACGACGCGTCACACGGCAACAGGGACAGTTTCCTGTTCTTATCGTTCATATTATTATTCTTCTTGTTTATTATTATATTATAATTATTCTTGTTAAAATCGCAAGATTTTCAAACACGCCTGAAGATTCTGGAATACGCTCGAAGATTCTTGGACATACTGGAGAATTCTAGATCAGCAGCTGAACACCGAAATCGTCTTGTCAGCCATTTTCTACCGACCTTTTGTCTAAACCTTTATCCGATAATATCGGTATTTACAGAAATTTTCAGAACTTTGGTTGCTTGACGTCGAAAAGTATCGCTGTACAAACAGCATTTCCGATTTCGATTTCAACCTCTGTCCTGGAATGTTACCTTCGCGAGAAAGTACCGACCTGCGGGCAGTCCTTGATGTAATGTCCTTTCCTAAAGCACAAATGACACAGGTATGCCGGCGGAGGTCTCTTGGCCCGTCTTCTATCGGCTACAGTTAACTCGGTAAATTGTTCAGTTAGGTCCGCCATGCTGTCTATTGTGTTACTTCTCATGGGCCTGATGGGTACGGACGGATTCAACGTGCTTTGGCACCTTGGCACCGTGCTTTGTATATAAGGCTGTGACGTCATCGTCGGAAAATTGCTCCACATGGACGGTAGTAACCTAGTGCTCTAAATGCAAAAAACACAAAAGTTACGCGTGCCTCAGCGTCTCTCGCAAATTTTACCTTCGATCTGCACGTTTTACTCGCGTATTCAACTTTTGTTTATATAACATATTCAGCTTTTGTTATCTTTTGTCGTTCTTCAAGATATCGCGGCTTTATCGAGCGGGGTGAATTGCTGAGAAAGTCGCGCACGAGTCTCAAAATATCAGGAAGTAAACGTGCGACTCGCGATGCGAGTCTCACGTGGTTCACAACACGACGCTTTTGTTGTCAAAGCGTCGTAGCGACAGAGAGCGTCAAGCGCGGTAGTTTTGTTGCAAATTAAGAATTTACAACGCCGCGTCTTCCCCGCGTCTGCTTGAAACCGACGACCGTAAACCGATTTCACCGATATCGGCCGAACGCGTTGATGACTCAATTTTCGCGGAAAGTTGATATTCGATTAATTTTAAATCAATTTGGTAAGCGGTAATTTTGTTCAACGACAAAATTACTGCTGATCTCGGATAATTAGCGTCTACCGACGCTATCGTGCTGGATATCGCGATTAACGATAATATTTTCGAATTTTGAATTACGTTGCGCACACGCGCTGTACATTTTCTAATATTGACTCCGACAAAATGACCCGCACATGTGCGAGCAAACTCAACGTGACTTTACTTCCCAGTACCGCGATTCTGTAACTCGTTATTGGAGTTAACGACAGTTTCGTTATTGTTGCGCAGCTTATCTACGGTATACGAAAGCTGCGCGACGATAACGAAAGTGTCGTCAAGTCCAATAACGAGTTACAGAATCGCACCACTGTACCGCGATTCTGTAACTCGTTATTGGAGTTAACGACAGTTTCGTTATTATTGTTGCGCAGCTTTTCTACGGTATACAAAAGCTGCGCGACGATAACGAAAGTGTCGTTAACTCCAATAACGAGTTACAGAATCGCGGCACAGGGCCCGGGTTAGGACGCACGTGGGAAGTTGGAGCAATCTAGTTACCGTACTGTCTGTGTGATTTCGTTCTATTACAGCGAGCGTGTTGTGCTTGCGTTCACGAGATTCACTCGAGGAAGTTCAGAGGATACATACTTGATCGGACGATTGCGATGGATTTTGCTCGGCGACGGCCAAGTACACCCAATTAACGAGTTGCGACGAGACACCCGAATGGGTAGCTTGTTGGGGAACTTTCGCATTCTGAGCACTCACACCGTTAATCGCCCCGTATCCAATCCGACTGAGATCTTGTATCGGCATATGCTGGACGGCGGACATTGGATGGCACGAGGATATATTTTTTCGTTTCATATCGTCGCCGCGAGCATGCGACTTATTATCGATCCCCGACGTCGGTATCGATGTCGTATCGTGTCGTTCTCACCACAAAAATAAAAAGAAACAACTCGCCACAAAAAATATTTATCATGTCCTCGTCGGCGAACCTTCAGTTCGAGTGACGGACTTTTTCCATTCAGTTCGTCGCACAGCGCTCTCGTCACCGATCTCTCGGCCTGCTCCTCCTCTCTTGAGAAAACTTTGCGAGTCACCCACGTGGATTGTAAAATTTGCAACTTCGTAAGAAGTTCCCACGTGGGCCAGCCGACGCACACTGCCTTCGGCAGGACTGTTTACCTCCGAGAATACTCGAAGAAAGTTTCCCTTTCTCCCTCCGTCCTCAAGTTTGAAAAGTAGGGTTGCCCTTCTCTCTCTTCTGCTTAACAAATCCACTCGCGAGGCTTTTCACACGCTTTGCCGCTCGCAGTTGGAACATTCTCGGATGCGCTGCAGCGGATCTCTCACATGCGACGACGATCACTTCCGGCCGGCCGAGCACCTTCGAAGAGACCTCACAGCTTCCGCCGAGATCGCGAAGCGACGTTTTTATCCGCTCTCACGCAACTCCGCTCACCCGGGAGTGTTGCCCGCGATGTGTATTCTCGCGCGCGCACGTTACGAAAACGCCTGGTCTTCTTCTTCTTCTTCGGGTTCTTCGGGTTCTTCGGGTTCTCGGCAACGATATCGCTCCGACGATGACGGGGCGAAGGGGGGGGGGGGGCGCCAACCTTGCCCCGTCGAAAGATTATATCGCCGCCCAGTTTAATCAAAACTGATCGCGTCGACCAGAGTCCGCCAGAATTATATTCTTGACACACGCGGTCGAGATCGAGCTGAGAGCAAGTCCAGCTTGCAAGTATCAGCGGCAAGTATCAGCTTGCCGCTCGGCGGCGGCGCGGCGGGCCAACGTGGAATTGTGTGAATTCGGCTTCGAATTCACGACAAAAGTAAATATGAAATTATCATGTTGATACTTGCTCGCTGCTCCCGGTCATGAGAGCGTTGTATCGGGAGCCACGTGGGAGCCGCGAGTCGCGAGTCGTACGACTTGCTGAGATCTCGCAACTGTCCGATTCTCAGCAAACTCTGCTCGACGAGGCTCCTCGACGATATCTCGAGGAATAACGCGCGGACTCCAATCGCATCGTAACGCAACACGAGCGCGCGTTTCTTCTCAAACTTTCGACTTTTTTCACGCGCGCGATGCCGCGCGATCAGCGAAGCTGACGTGAGCGTGCTCGAGGTGTCCAACGAGCGACGCAGAAGACGCACGATGGACGCGCAGGGCGCGCGCTACGAACGAATGCGTATCCGGACGAATGCATACTGACGGCCGACGAGCGAGAGAGAGAGAGAGAGAGAGAGAGAGAGAGAGCCCCGCCATGTGGTGCGTCTATTTCCGTGCTTGCTCTCGACCGACACGACGCGGACGCCTCCGAATGGACCCCGGCTCAACGGCTCGTCTTCTTCCTCCTCTCGATGAATCCGCGCTGAGCTCTTCATGGTCGCGTCGACGAGAGAGCCCACGTGAGCTTGACAGACGCGCTCACCCACCCACGCACGCGACGTTCGTCGGGTATTCCTGGACGTCTCGGGGGATCCTCTGATCTCCGGACTTCTGGATATTACGCCGACGGCGCTCGGTCCTGTTTGTTGCTTCAGAAAAGAATTCTTGTTCTTTTTGTTTTTTCCTTTTTAGAAAGTGTCACACGGAAAGGTAAGGCGTATGTATAAAATGGTGTAATAATAGCTCTCGCAGTCTAGTACGTTCGTGGATACGTCTCGAGTACTCCCTGGACGCGAGTTTTCTCGCGAGTTCTCTCTGTCGCGAAAATCGAGTCGGCGAATCGGCCGTCGTTATCTTTGGCGGTCGCATCGGCACCTCATAAAGTTATATCAATTGTAATCATTTGTTCACTTCGATCAAGCCCCCTGAACGTTTCTTTTTCTTTTCTTTTTTTTCTCTTTTTTTTTCGATTGAACTCCCAGGTTAATTTACAATCTGTCGATTGAGGCAATAATAAGTAAATTTTATAAACCATACGGTAACTTGTTGATATTTCCCCCGTTGGTCAATATTCCTCAAATTAATTTATTTAATATTTAACTTCACTATGCACTTTTACGTCTAAATTAATCCATACTATAACAATGCGCAAATTGTGACTCTATAACTTATGTAAGAAGAAGGGGAGGCAGAGGGAGGGAGAAGGGAAGATACAGGGAAATTTTTTTCTCCTTTTTTCCCCCTTATTGCTTTTTCTTTTCTTTTTTTCTCTCCTTCCTTCCTTCTTTCTTTCTTTCTTTCTTTCTTCCTTCCTTTTTCTTTATTTTTTTCTCTTTTGTTACTTTCTTTCGCTTTGTACTAAACTTTGTATCAATCTTGCACACCAAAGGGCTCAGACCCGTATATTATTAATAAATAAATGAATAAATAAACTTGCTATTGAATACTGGGATTTTTGCAACTAATTAAGTCTTTAATTACTGGGATGATTACATTAACAGAGACAGATCCAGATACGACTAATTAAATCTTGTTCCAAGGTCAATGGGTTTAAATCGTTTCAATCTGCACGCTTCGACTACAAACGGCGCGATTGTCGGATCTTCCCATCGCGGTTCCCCAAACGGAAGGATCGCGAATTTCCGCACGATGTGGAGCATCGTGGCGAGCTCTGAACGAATGAATTAATAAACAAGACATGTTATACTGTGTGCGCGAATCGCTTCGTAAATAATGACTGTGAACATCGTCGGAATGATTCGCGTACGACCGATTCAAAAGGCGCTTCGAGGCGCTTGAAGACGTCGCGTCGAGGGAACGGGCGCATTATATGCGCCACACGGCATTTTTACTATTTAATGTCGGGATCGCGAGAGTACGCGATTCGCGGACCGTCGGCTGCGCTTTCCCGGTCACGATATCCCGCAGAGTCGCCGAACTCATCTATAAATAAACTCCGATTGCCATTCGTGTATATTGATTGCGCTCACCTAGTTGCCGCGACAAATCGCTATGACGATCTCCGCCTCTGGCACGACGTGGTGGTGGTGGTGGTGGTGGTGGTGGTGGTGGACAAGTTGCATTTGTTGCGCACGGACCGTTCGACTCGTCATCGATATCGACTTCCTTATCAATCCCAGTCGGCGGAAGCTTCTAAACGATGAGGTCACGACTCGATCTCGATATAAAGTGGAACGTTTGTGGAAAGTTTATGCTCTCTGTTCCGTTTGTGATTTGCAGAGAATTCCCACCTTCCGCGGAGAATTTGCGAACAATTCTTTCTTCTTATCCTGCAGAATTCTTATCCTATGCAGAACGGGGATGCTCGCGATGGGGCGCACCTTCCCTCGCCAACGTCGATCCCTCCTTCGAACGTTCGAGTTCTGTCTTTCGGCCGGTTCACCGTGTGCTTTTGTACTCGGGCGAAGACCACCCCTGACTAATTACCAGCAGATCGATAATCATCGATGAGGGCCGCGCACGAGGCTCCTCGAGGCAGTCGAGCCTCGTCGGCGAACGAGTCAATGTCGGGTGGTATAAGGCGGCCTCCGCGATATACACGCGCAGGATTCGCCTCCCCCCCCCTCCCTCCATCTCCCTGCTGTGTTACCTGTTTGTCTCCGCAGCGACAAAGAATCGCGCGTACCTGCGAGTCTCGAGGAGTATATATAATGTTTATATGACGCGGCGCGTCATCGAGGCGATGAAGATCGGCCAGGACTTATTCGCCGTGCAAAAGTCCGCAAACTTCACTGCGAACGGTGAGACGCTGTTCGGATAAATCGCAAGGATGACGCACGACACGGGACTGTTTGAATTTGAACGCGTCAAGCGCGATTAAATGCCCGTCCGTAACTCAGCACTCAGCCCTGACAATTCGCAGATTTTTAAGCAGCCCGGCGTTGTATTTATTATAAATTCGAGTGAGCGCAGTAACCCCGCCCGAGGAGGTTCACCCCGCCGTTGGATGTATGGGGAAAATGGAGAAATATGAGAATATTGAGGTGGTGGGCGAAGGAAGTTACGGCGTCGTGATGAAGTGCAGACATCGCGAGACCGGGCAAGTGGTGGCGATCAAGAAGTTCTGGGAGACCGAGGAGGATCTGCAGGTGCGGAAGTTGGCCTTCCGCGAGATTAGGATGCTGAAGGTACCTGTCGAATTAATCGAGGGGGAGTTTACGGGGAGTTTACGTTATGACGTTTGCATCCGTCTCTCGTGTCTCGCGAATCGCGCGGTTAAACCCGCGCTCCGTCGGCTTTTCGCCGAGAACGCGTCGTCCTGATCGATCCATTGTTTCCTCGATACTGCAAAAAACTACGGTAAAACTCTGTTTAGAAATTGCGTCACGAGAATTTGGTGAGCATGATCGAGGTTTTCCGCCGCAGGAAACGGCTCTACCTCGTCTTCGAGTACCTCGATCACACCGTGCTCGACGAATTGGAGCAGACCGACGGTGGCCTCGACTGGGGAAAGTCGAGGAAATATATCTTTCAAATACTACGAGGTCTGGACTTTTGTCACAATCACAAAGTAAGCGAAAGCCCCCCCCACCCCGCTCGAGAGAGAAGATGACAGAAATTGCGCACGTATATTAAGTCTATTAGAGTTATCAGAAGAGTTCCCACGCGGAAATTATAGCGCTATAATAACAATAATAATTGTTATTATTATTGTTATTGTTATCATCGCTGCACCATCGCGAATTTTCCGAAATCATCCAGAAGTGAGATGGTTCACGCTTTACGAGCTTCACGGCCGAAAATCGCGATGAAAATGTCTGTCGCGCCGCTTTATACGGAAAAGAAAGGCGGATTGTGCGAGCGGCGACGGAGCACTTTCGCCCATCGGCAACCTTTGGCAATACACGCGCCTTCGTTACGGTAAAGTTCACGGCCGTGACGCCATTAAATTCCAAGTTGCAGTAAGTCGTGCATGTGTAGTAACATGCAACGGCCGGAGGCCTTAATGAATGATCGCATTGTGGTAAACGAGGGCAGTGTCTGCTGCCGTTCGGTCGTCTTCGACACGGAAAGTCCTGGCGCGTGGAAAGCGTTACGCGTTTTCTCCGCTCGTGTCGAGGAACACACGAAACGCGTCACCGTTACCGTGCCATCGATTACGTTTAAACGCAGATCAAAGTTTCACATAAAGCTCGGGCGAAATCGTTGGCGCGATCTTTCTCGTCAAAATTCGAGCTCGTCCGCGCTTCAAAAGGCCTCGTGTCGAATTCTCGTCGCGTACGTATCCTCGATCGTCGTTTCTGCTCAGATTTTCCAGCAAAATTCTAGCAACGAAAGAATTCTGATTCGACGCGCTACGTAGGACACACAGGGTGCTAAATTTCACACGTAACAGGCAAAAAAAATCTCGAAAACTATGAAAGATATTAGAAAAAGCTAAAACACGTGTTCCATGATTTCGAGGGGGAAAGAGAATGGTATATTATCAGTTTCTTATTTGGAGGGCATTTTCAAGGTCAGTTGAAGGTCAACTTAATTTTTTCAAATGGAAAGTCCAATTTTTTATTACATCTTCTTTTTCTACCGATTAATTTTAACAACTTTTGTCTGGAACAGTTCTCTGAACATTTTCTCATTTGCCTGATATCTTTTGAAATATTTCAGGAAAACTTTTAAGCAAAAACTATTTAAGGACAATATTTAAGGTAACTTTTCCAACATTTAACTTATGATATCTCGCTAACTATTCGTCGAAAGAAAAAATAGTATTGGACTTTTTTACTTTGTTTACTATCAAGAATGTATTACTATAATAATAATAATGCCCTAACTTTTGTTAATTTAATAATTTTGAAATTTCCCAAGGTCGATAAGTTAAGTAAAAGTTAGGCCACTATTATAGTAATATATTCTTGATAGTAAATGTAGCAAAAAGGTCTAATATACTATTCTTTCTTTCGACGAACACTTAGCGAGATATCGTAAGTTAAATGTTGAAAAAGTTATCAAGTTTTCCTTAAATATTTCAAAAAATATATAATATCAGGCAAACAAAAGAACGTTTCAGACAAAAGTTGTTAAAATTAATTGGTAGAAAAAGAGGATATAATAAAAAATTGGGCTTCATTTAAAAAAAACCAAGTTGACCTTCAACCGAACTTGAAAATGCCCTCCAAATAAAAAACTGATAATGCCATTCTCTTTCCCCTTCGAAATCGTGGAACACGTGTTTTAGCTCTTTTCTAATATCTTTCATAGTTTTCGAGATTTTTTACCTGTTTTACGTTTGAAATTTAGCCCCCTAAATGTGGAAGGCTGTCTCGCTAGGCTATCCAACTTTTCTCAGGCGGAGTGCTCCGCAGTCATTTTTTGCGTGTCTAAATAACATCAAAACACTCGCGCTTCGATTCTGCTCGCTTTAAATGATCCCTGGTCTAAATGGCTCTTCTTGTTTGACTACCTCGGTTAGTCTCGATGATTTTCTGCCTTCCATTCGTAGATTATGCATCGTGACATAAAGCCCGAGAACGTGCTGGTGTCGCCGAACGGTGTAATCAAGCTCTGCGACTTTGGCTTCGCTCGCTACGTCACAGGACCCAACGAGTCCTGCACGGATTACGTGGCGACACGGTGGTATCGAGCACCCGAACTCCTCGTCGGCGACTCCAGGTACGGCAGAGCGATCGACATCTGGGCGACAGGGTGTCTTTACGCCGAGATGATGAGCGGCCAGCCGCTCTTCCCCGGCGAGAGCGACGTCGATCAGCTGTACCGCATCGCGAAAGTGTTTGGTGAGTTGGCGACGAACAAGGTGGATCGATCCGGCAACTTTTATCAAATTCATTGATTGGAAAGTAAAGTCGAATTGAAACCAATTCATATTAAAATTATATTAAAATGTGAAAGTGATAATTTATACGAAGCCAAATCCAATATCTTTCTCCACTGCGAGAGCTTCAAAAATGTCGGATCAATTTGCGGCTGTCAAATTCATTAAATTGACCGATCGGGTTAATCTTCTTTTCTTCTCGAGAGAATGCAAAAACATTCGTTACGATAATTCACGCTTGTTTCGTATATTTACGAAAGCTTCGGTAAGTGCATGTTTCTGCCGTTGCACAAACCCGTGATAATCAAAACTCTATTTCACGACTTCCCGTTGGAAATAGGTCCTCTTTTCGGCAAGCATCACTCGCTGAAAGGCAACGGCAGCGGCCGTGCACTTCGTCACGCAAATCCGGACGAGCTGGTGCCGGGCGCACCGCGATCCGGAATGGCGGCTCTACGAAGTCTCTTCCCCACGTGGAGCTCGGTGACGGTGGATTTCCTTGCGCAGTGCCTTCGCGCGAATCCCGAACTCAGGCCCAAGTGCTTCACGTTGCTGCAGCACCCGTTGTTCTCGCAGGACGGCTTCGCGGACAAGTTCCTGGACGAACTGCAGAGATTAGTCGCGAAAGAGGCCGCGATGAATCCGCTCGCGGCCAGGAGAACGGACACGCCCTCCAGGACCTACCGCAGCAGCATCGGAAGGTCAGTCCAACTCGATGACAAATTAATTAATCCGACGCCTGTTAGTCCAACACGACAGGGAGAGGAAACATCCTGACTGTAGAAAGAACCTCCGCGAAAAGTGCCCGTTTTTCAGTCGCCGATTTTTAAATTAAATTTTATGCGAAATGATAGCTCATGATAAGACATTAATCAGACACAAAAGTTTTACATTGAGCGTACGATTGGTCTCGGAGACACAGAGGGTCAAAGTGGTCACTACCTACTACTAAGGAAGTTTGGAACACCAATAACGCTTTATCGCACGAATTTTTGCAAAGTTCAGGTTCATCTACGGGTCCGTTGAGTTGCTGATTATGAATTCGATGTCAGATTTAAGAAATCCAATGCCAGCTAATGTAGCGGACAAAAATAGTGAAACAATTGTTTACTTTTATCAGAACTGTTATGTTGTGGTTTTTTCGGCTAGCTGGTTGCGAATTTTCTAGCAGATTTACGTTTACCTTCGGTGTAGGCAAGATGAAAAAGTGATCCAGCCAACGAAGGCAAGATAAAAATGTTTATATTATTCGATATAATGATATGTAATTATAAAGAGTCACGGAAACTGCAGTGCACGGAGAAAGCAGGTCTGCGATGAAAAAAACTTCAAAATATAACAAATAAAACCTGTCACGTTATCCTTTATGCGTCATGTAACGTATCAATTTGAATTTGATATTTCTTTATGAAGAAACGATAAAAAGAAATGCTTTTTCCGCTCAAAAATTGTCGTTGGAAAAATTACTTTCGAAAAGCTAGGTAGAAAATTCGCAATCAGCCAGCCAAAAAACCACAACATAACAGTTCCAATCAAAGTAAATGATCGCTTCATTATGTGTGTCCGTCATGTTGCACCTGCCTTCTTGAATTTTTAATCTTGAATTTTTAAAATCTCATTCATCAGCATTCATAATCAGCTCAACTCAAAGAACCCATAGATACCGAATTTTGCAAAAATTCTTGCGATCAAGCGTTATTAGTGTCATACTTTCTTAGTAGGTAATGACCACTCTGACCCTCTGTATCTCTGCCAACCGATCGCGTATGCTCAACGTAAAACTTTTCTGCAATTAATGTCTCATCATGAACTATCCTTTTGGCATAAAATTCGATTCCAAAATCGAGGACCGAGAAACGGGCAAAAGATCGCGACCCTTCTTGCGGAGGTTCTTTCACTGTGTGAACATTCAGGTGGCAGATGACGCTCATCAAGGAGAAGAGGTCGACGAACAACAGCGTCGCGGAGCCGGAGACCGCGGAGAACGAGGAGTCGTCTCGAGGCAATCGAGTCGACCGGCCGTCGCCGGCGCAGATCAATCGGCCACGCGAAATGCGTTACTGCGGCCCGATCTCGGTGATTCCGAACACTACGTACATTCGCCGCTTGGAGCACAAAGGGCTCTTGATACCGAACGCAAAGGGCTGCGTCCTGCCGGCTCTCACGTCCAAGACGAACGCCAAGAGGAAAAGGCTCGAGCCTCCGCGCGCGAAAGATCGTTGAGAGGGACCGCGACGAGTGTGTACGATCTTTCTTTTCGTTTCAGTAATATTAACGCCGAGAAAAGAGCGAAAAGTCTGTAGACAGAGGAACGCCGTCGTGCGCGCGGCACGTTTCTCTCTCCCTCAATGGAGAGTGTATATATATATATATATATATATATATATACTCGTATGTATATGAATGAAAATAAGTGTTGACAGTGCAATAATGCGCGTGTAAGACTCGACTAGATCGCATTGTAAGAAGGAATGAATTCCAAGAAGATTTCTTTTCACTTTATGCATCGAGACCGCACACAATCGCATAAAACACACGAGTGCG